TATCAGGGCGGACTACACAGTCACCATCCTCTCGGATAGAGTGGACAATGCAGTCTCCACTCTCTCAGAGACCTTCGCAGGTAAACCTCAAACTATTCGCAAAAGCGAACCATCCAAAATCGGACTTGCGGTTTGACCAGCTAAGCCATTTTCCGGATTGGTTGGATCGAGATAAAGAAAGAAAATGGTGCAAATACTGTAAAATTTCTCAAACGCAGTGCAATTGCACAAAATGTAAACTGCATTTGTGCTACACATCCAAAAAAAATTTTTTTTCAGATTATCATAAAAATAAATAAAACTCAACTTCGAAATTTGAGATCCGCGTCGCATACATAAAATTGGCGGGGTCGCTGCACAGGAAATTCAAAGCCCGGCGGGGCGGGGCGCGCGGTGGGGGGGGGGCGGGGGGGGGGGGGGGGGGGGGGGGGGGGGGGTAGCGGGCCTGAAGCGACCTGTAACCACAACGCGATAGGTTTGGCGGGACAAATAAATCGGCTAGAGTTTTGAAAAAACAATAAATCGATTTTGATCTCGTAGCCCAGGGATGCAGGTGATCATCGTTTGACAAGAGCAAGTTTAAACAATGTTAGGTGGGGTTCTCACAGGGTCAGGTTCTGACCGTCTGACAGGCGCATAGGCGATCAAAATTAGGGAAGGCCGAACGCGTGGCGTCAGATTGACAATACATATCCTTTTTCGTCATAAACCTTGCTGTGACCAGTTGTGCAACGCGCAGAAAAGTATTATTTTAATGTGCCATCCGTGAATAAAACTGCCGCAAACAAAGGTGCTATTGAGTGGAAAATATTGATCCCCTAGAATATAGCCGTATTTGTGGTAAGTGCGAATGAGAAAATTCTCTGAACGATGATTTAAATCAGTTTTTCCCATAACGTACGTATTCGCTGATCCATCTGCTCGTTTAAGAGTGTGGTTGGAGAAGAGAGTCCAGAAACTGATCTCGCCCAGCGGAAAAGTGAATGCTACAACGAAGACCCGACGGTCTTTCACCCGCGACCCACGCCACCTATACGCTCCCCGCATTCCAGTTTCGAGCAAAGTAAGCCGCAAGACGCAGACCGCGAGAAACTGGAGTAGGAACATCAGAACCTACCGTTCTTCCGCATCGTAACCTACAAGGCGCAACCTAGACAGGGCATGTTCCTCATCGCCGCTCCAAGGTGCGTATGAAGGCGTACGCAGGCGTGAAGAACTCAGCGATGTTGTACTAGAACCACCAGTGGCTATCGTTTCGCCCCGTATTGACGTGCAACCACGCCGATGCAGTAGACGCCCTCGTATGAGAATCTGGTGTGAAGAGACAGACGTTTCTTCAATCAGCGCAGGAACCACCGTATTCTGCCGCATCGTGTCGTTACCCAGCACGCACATGTATCAGGGACGACCCCCTTTTCGAGCTGTAGCAGAAACGAGCCTAAATGTTAGATAAACCCACTTTTTAAGCCAATTTATAGTGCCTCAGTTTGATTAAAACGTCGCATAATTTATCTTTCTCGAATATAGGTATTAATGAAATTTCAATTGTTAAGACTTCCTCAGTTTAATTCATATTTTAAATATTCTTAGTTAATATAAAATTAACCTTCATGTATATTCATAAGAGACTTACAAGTTATAATTCATATTGAATGATCGGTAGCGAAATGCCGCGCATGTTTTGTGGTTAGAAAACCAAAGCTTATTGAGGAAGAAGAAAATTTAGGGACGTAATGTAGCGAATGATTAGACCCACGCCCTTTCTACTGTTTACCTTACAGGGAGTTTGTTTGTTGTCAGCACCCATCGGAAGATCGATCTTTCGACGTTGGAAAAATTTTATTGTGCGTGAGTAAATAACCAAAACTAAACGTGCGTTGTATTGTGATCTGACTGATCTTTGCGTTGCATTATGATCATGCTATCCTTGATAATAGCCTGTAGTGGTAAGACAGTTGGCAGTTGGGCCCGCAACCATCAAAAAGGTTTTTTTGTTCATTTTTTTCATTTTTTAGGTTTGGTTAACGAATTTTAGCTCCAAAGTCTCTGCATAGATTTTAATGAGCGATACCTTAAACGACGCCAAATTAATGCACCTATACACAAAAAAATATAAAACACAAGATATAATTTTTTTTCGACTTTTCCTTAATTTTTAAAGTCAAAATTTCGTAAAAAATAACGCACAAAAATCATCATTCTTGCATTTCAATGCTTTATATTTTCCAGACGGTAAGCTGTAATCACAAAGTGTTTGGGCTTCACTTCTAGCTGTTTTAATTATCTTTTCAAAATATCAAAGTTCTTTACAACCAGACGTAAGATACTAGAGCTATGTGAAAAAAACAAGCGCTACCTCTGAAAAAAGCTTTAAAAAAAAATACCAGACTTCAAAAATTCTTCAAAAAAAAGTTCTGCCATAGAAAAAAAACCATAATTCTTTAAAAAAATTTAAATCCCCATATCTATCAGAAAAAGTCGGTTTGGATCCTTGAGGAAAAAAAAAGTTCGATTTTGTTGAGTAGTGTTATCACATAACCATTATAGTTAATGTACTTTTCGTATTTAATAAGATATTCTTTCTATTGTCGCCATGGTTGGCTTAATCTTGTATTATAAGAGATAAAGATGAAGTAGAAATAAAGAAACAAAATAAACTCAATGCTAGCTTGCGCGTTTTGGTAAGAGGTCCAAAGGGGTCATCAGAAGCTGTACGCTTTCCGAATAATGGCCAAAGTTAGGGTGGGTTTAGCCCCCACATTACATCAGTGGACAAGCTCCGACTTCTCTTAGTTTCCCTTCTTACTTATCCTTTCCCTTAATCCTATCCCGAACCAACAGATTTCCTTTCTCTTCTCTACATCCTCTTCATCTCTCTACTCTTCTTTCTATTCTTTTCGTCATATCTACCGTAAAGTTCCAGCAACAAGTCGCAGCACGCTTAATTCTGGAAATTTTATTAATAACACTACTCAACAAAATTGAACTTTTTATTTGGGCTGTGAACCAAAATGACTTTTTCTGATAGATTTCGGGATTTAAAAATTTTTGTAGTACTTTATTTTTTTTTTATGGTGCAATTTTTTTTTTTTTTTTTTTAATTTTTAAAGTCTGGTTTTTTTTCATTGTTGTTTTCAGAGGTAGTGCCTCTATTTTTCACATAGTGTAACGAACTGTTTCTGTCCGTCTAACTCAGCGAGGCTGGCTCAGCGGCCGACGGTTCGTTGCAACAAATTTGTATGTTGCCTCACAGACACGAAAGAATGCACGGGTGGGTTTAATTACTGGTTTTGGATGTTTTATTGGTATCTTATACTTATGGGATCTTACGTTCTATACAACAAATGGATCGTTCCCCAGTTTTACACGCTCTCTCGCTCTCGTCTCAGGCTCCTCGCTGGTGCTGTGGCTATGCGTCCGACCTGGCTCACGCCTGATCTACACACACAACTCCGCACCCACTGAGTCGCTTTTGATCGCCTTTGCGGAAGCGGTACCTGTCGTCCTTCCTCTGGCACCTTGCAGACCTTGTTCCCTTTGCCGGGTCGTACTGCTGCCTCTTGGATGGGTCACTTTGGTTCTTCCTTTGCCTCTCACGTCGACTTTCCTTGTCAGTTGTCCTCACGCACTCGCTTGTGTTCACGCTTTTTCCTCGTTGCTCGCACTCCACTCACTGTCCTCCTTCACTGTTGCCGGGCTCCTCTTATACCCTCGCTTCGACGCTAGCGTCCGCGCCTCTGCCTAGCAACAGCGGTAAATCCGTGCGCCGCTGGTAATTTTCCATCGGCCTCTTCGCTTGATTCCCTCACGTTCTTAACGGGACCGGGCTGGTGGCGTGATCTCATGTCCATACATGGACATGCGCTGGACCGCTGCCATCGGCCTCTTCGCCTGATTCCCTCACGTTCTTAACGGGACCGGGCTGGTGGCGCGATCTCATGTCCATACATGGACATGCGCTGGACCGCTGCCGGCCCGCTCCCGCCGTTCCTAGCCTGACGTGAGCGCCGCTCCTTGCGGGCTCCTCCATTCCCGACTCCCTCCACGGGCTCGTACCGGAGGCATGCTCTCATGCCCATATCTGGTCATGCACTGGAGCCCTGCCACTCTAACGGACCCCGGCTCTCACTCTCTTGTGAATTCGCCGTGAATTCTCGCCTTAACCCTTACTTGGTTCCCTTGTGAGGAAACTCCATTCCTCACACTTCCCCCTTTCTTTACCAGAGGAAAACTCCCTTCGTTTTCCTCTCGGCCACCTTCCCATTTGAATTCAAGCGTGCGCGCGGGCGCGCACTCACGCTGGTTCCGGACTGGTTCCTCCACTGGCCGATCGGTTCGCCACCTATCGGATCGGGTCCGCCGATGCAGTTCCGGAACCAGCCCCGTGCATGATTCTCCCGGTAGGTGCGCGCTTCGCGTGCACGATAGGTGCGCGCTTTGCGTGCACGATAGGTGCACGATATGTGCGCCTCTGATCGTGCTGCCAGACCCTCTTCACGTGTTGCCGGACCGCTCCCCTTCTCACGTGTTGCTTCCGCTTGCGGTAACTATTGTATACGCTGGCCGGCCGCGTTTTCGCGTAAGTTTTATGTTGCTGCCCTCGTGGGCTCTGTATACCTCGCGTGTTAAACCCCCGCCTATCCCGCCATCAAGCTGCCATGCCCCGGGGTAAGTTGTACTTCATTCTTTATTCATTTTAATCTCATTCACCAATTTTTCCTCCCCCCTTTCATGCCTCGACGGACACCTCGACCTGGTTTGCCGATGCTGATACCCGGTACCGCACCCCGCGCACCCTCACGAAACGCTTCACGCGTCGACCGATCCGGCGTGTGCCTTCCACCGCCCGAGCCACTGCCTCCGGCCATTCTTCAACATCCACATGTCGCCAGCGGACGTTCTTCCCCGTCGGCTCCTCCACCGACTGCTGTCTCTGCAGCTGCGGCCGGGCGACCTCAGCCCTGGGATCCGGGCACGACGATTGCCGCACTAGGACAGGCCTAGGCTTGTCTTTCGCAGGTGAGGGCCACACCCACGGACCGCGCTCCCACCTCTCGCTTTCCGTGTTCGCTGCCGGTACCTCCGTCGCCGTCGTCATTGCTGGCACTGCCGGTTCCTCCGTCACCGTCGCTGCCGGTACCTCCGTCACCGTCGCTGCCGGTCACCGTCGCTGCCGGTACCTCCATCGCCGCCGTCGGTATTTCCGTTGCCGTCGCCGTCGCTGGCGCTGCCGCCTCTTCCGTCGCTGCCGCCCCCTCCGTTGCTGCCGCTGTCGGTGCCTCTGTCGCCGTCGCAGCCGGTGCCTTCGCTGCCGCTGGCTCCCGCTCCTCCGACGCCGTCTCCTCTGCCCTCATGGCCTCGGCCTGCCTCCGGTGCTGTCGTGGATCACGCGCGTTGCTTCGCGGGGCCGGTTCCTCCTCCCATACTTTCCGTTCTTCCTGCGCTTCCGATGGTGCGGGTCCCGACGCCCACGTTATGTGGATAACTTGGTGGTGCCATATCATGCCATTCCTTACCGCCGTGTGCACGTTTTGTGACACAAATGGCCCGCACACCGCGGTCTCCGGACCACCCCACTGGGGCCGCTGGGCCTCTTCCTGTGGCGGCTCCTTCGGTGCCTCCTCCTGTCGTGACGACGACTGTTGTGTCGGTGCGTTCGGCGGTGGTGATTTTGGTGGCGGTGACTGCGGGGGCGTCGGTTGTTGTGTGCTCGGTGGCTGCGGCGGTGGCTCGGGGTGCCGGCGTTCCCATAAGGGTGCCTCCTCACCCTGTTTGGGTTGCTGCTGCCCCGTCGGTCCGCTAAACAGACCTGTCCTCACCTTGAGGAACCTCGGAGGAGGCGGAGCCTCCTCCTCGATCCTCTCGTGAGCTTCGGCTTCCCGCCGCGCGGCCTCCATCTGCCGTTGTAGGGCGGCATATGCTTCCCGCATCATGGCCTTGTTCAGCGCCCCTCCCTTTGCGCCTTCTCCGCTGCCTTGCTTCGGGCCACCCTTGAGGCCTGCGCTCTCCGGTGCAACGGTACCTCTGCCGTCCGTCCCTGCTGCGCTGCTGCTGGCCTTGACGTCGGCTGCGATGGCGTCGCTGGCGGCCTGGTTTTCAACGGCTGCTTCGGTTCCCGTTGCCCTGCAGTTTCGCGCTTCCGCTCACGCAGATAGCGCTCCGCCGATCGGATGGCGATGCCGAGGAACGCTGCGTCGCGTCGCAGCTCCTGCTCCCGTGCCCGCTCCTCCTCGTCGTTGAGCTGCCATCTCCGGAGCTCGGCTCTCCTCGGAGCCGGCTCGACGGAGACCACCACCACGTCGCTGCCGTCGCTGTCCTCCTCCTCCGTTGCTCCTGGCGACACTTCCGGCTCCCGTCTGCTTCGAGGAGACGCCCACGAGGACCACTCGCTCCTTGGGGATGCCATGGGGCTTGTGAATGGGGACGCCATGAGCTCCAACTCTGGAGTCTCGCTCCGCCGATCGCATCGCTCACCTCGCGAGGGCTCCGCCCGTCGCTGGCGCTGGATCTCGGGATTGCGGCTCCCCACACTTCTGGCTTGTTCCTCCAAGTAAAATTCCAACATGGCGATTTTCTTCCCTTTTTTTTTTTCTCTTTTAAAGTCCGCGCTTGCGTTTCCGTCTACCTCTGGCTCGTGACTGATCGACAGCTCCAGCCTCTGCCGCCGTCGAGCCCTTGCTGTTTTTCCCGTCGTTCCGTCGTACGGTAGTTGGGCATTCCTTCTCCCGCTCTCTCGACGGTTCCTGCCTCTCAGCATTGGGCTCTTCGCCGCGTTAACCCTTCCGCGGCCGGTGGGGGTCTACTCGCACCCGATCATACCTGATCCCACCCCCTTTTGTTTGAAGAGCTTTAAATATATATATTTTCCTTTTTACATTTATTATATTCTTCCTTTTTTTTTTCCTTTTTTTTTTTTTTAGGCCTTGCCGCCCGGCTTCCCCTCTCCCCCCGACTGATCGACACCCCCTTCGGCCCATGTGAGTACTGTGAATGTGCGCTACCCTTTAATGACTCTGGCTTCTTCTCCAGCCCATCTTGCATCCTTGATCCGTGATGCCAATCGTCACACCTGCCCCTGACTAACAGGTCCTCCGACCTTTCGCCTGGCTGCAATATGACGATCGGCCCTGGCTCGTCACCTCATTGCCGCCTCCGGCTTGACCTTTGGCGTGACCTCTGCCCCACGCAGCTGCTTCGGACCCGAGGATCATCCGACTCCTCGCCCGTCAGCAACGCATGGGTAGTGTCTTCTGCCCAGCCAAGCCCGACGGCTGTAGATGACCCAGGCACACTGGACCCCAGGACCCGGAGTATCACTCCCACTTCACTGGACCCCCGAGGGTATCTCTCCGCCCGGGTCTCGGTCAGCCGAACGCCTTTGGCTTCTGGATCGCTCCACCCGTTTCTGACTCCTTATTTTCCTTCGTCGTTTGCCTGTGGCTTCAGATCCCCAATATGTGCCGTCCGTGTATGCCTATCGCCGTCTTTACGCAGCTTGCATATCACCGGTGATACGAAATCAGTGATCTGGTAGGGACCGGCATACTTTGGGGCCAATTTTGCTGCGAACCCCTCGGCTGCGTTAGACAGGTGGTGCTGTTTAACCCACACCTTTTCACCGACCTTGGGCTTCCAAGCTCTCTTTCGCAAGTTGTAATATCTTGCCTGATCCTGGGCTGCTCTTTCCAAATTCCGCCTCACCAGCTGAAAAAGTTCTTTCAGCTTTACCGCATGTTCATCCGGAGTGTTTGTCTCCTGACCCGTGCCGAGTGTTTCCTCATCGTACAACGCCTTCGGCAGCCTGGGCTCTCTCCCTTGCACTATGAATGCTGGTGCGAATCCAGTGGACTCAGTGACCCCAGAGTTCACGGCCAGCATTAACTCGGGCCACTTCTCGTCCCAGCATCTCTGGTCCCCTTCGGTGAACTGCGCGATCATGGTTTTCACCGTTCTGTTGGTGCGTTCCGTCGGGTTTTCTTGCGGCGTGTACGGTGCCGTAAACTGGTGTCGAACTCCCCATCTGATCCAGAAACTTTTTAAACGCCCGACTGGTGAATTGTACCCCATTGTCGCTGACCATCACCTTGGGTACGCCGAACCGGGCCAATATTCTTTCTCTGAAAGCCTTTATCAGGGCTTCTGCCGTGGCCTTTCTCATTGCCACCAGCTCGGTCCATTTTGAAAACCGGTCCACCAGCACCAACAGCATGGCGTTGCCGTGTTTTGATCTGGGCAATGGTCCCACAAAATCCGCGCACACCGTCGCCCATGGTTCCTCTGGTACTTGTGTCAGCATCTTCCCGGCCGCCTGTGCCTGACTTGGTTTGAAACGCATGCAGGTGTCACATTTCCTGACATACGTCCTCACGTCTCGGTGCATCCCCGGCCAGTAGTACCTGGCAGCTATCCTTGCCATCATTTTCCTGCCGCCGGCGTGACCCGCCTCCGGGATATCGTGGTTCTCCCTCATGACCCGCTCCCGCCGATCCTTCGGCACGCAAAGCTTCCAAGCTACTACTTCTTCGTCGCCGGCCCGGTGCGGGATATGCCGGTACACCCCGCCTGCCTCCTCCACATAATCTGGGAACTTGGCCGGCTCCCTTCTCATCTTCTCCTTGACCTTCTTTATCCACGAGCATTGCTCTTCGGGCTCCTGTCCAACGTCCTCCGCTCGCATACATCGCTCTTCCATGGGCTGTCGGGATAGCGCGTCAGCCACCACGTTCTGCTTCCCCTTCCTATACGCTATTTCGAAGTCGTATTGCTGTAACTCTAGCGCCCATCTTGCGATTCTCCCCGTCGGGCTCTCTATGCTGTTGAGCCACTTCAATGCCATGTGGTCGGTGACCACCTTGAAGTGATACCCTTCCAAATAGGGTTTGAGCTTCCTGATGGCCCACACAATTGCCAGGCATTCCTTCTCTGTAGCCGAGTAATTCTTCTCCGCACTGTTCAGCGTTCGGCTGGCGTATGAGATCACCCTTTCGCCCTTCTCCGTTTCTTGGGTGAGAATCGCTCCCAATCCATAGTCGCTGGCGTCCGTCTGTAGCACAAACTTCTTCGAGAAATCCGGGCAAGTTAGCACCGGATCGGCTACCAGCCGACCCTTCACGGACTCAAATGCCTGTTGTTGCTCTGATGCCCATTCCCACTTCACCTTTTTCTTCAGCAATGTGCTAAGCGGCTGTACCATGGTGGCGAATCCTGGCACGAATCGTCGGTACCATGAGGCGACGCCCAGGTACTGGCGAAGCTCTTTCACGTTCGCCGGTGGCTTCAGCTCTGCGATGGCGGCCACCTTTTCCGGATCAGTGCAGATGCCTTCCCCTGTCACCAAATGCCCCAGGTACCGCAGCTCCCTTCGGCCGAACTGGCATTTTTCCACATTCAACCTTAAGTTGGCCCTTTTTAAGCGTCGGAACACCTCCTCCAGATTACGTTGGTGCTCCTCTTTCGTTCGGCCTATAACGATGATATCGTCTTGGTATGCGAAAGCATGCGGCATCATTTCCGGACCAATAACCTGGTCCAACGCCCTCTGAAACGTGGCCGAGGCCGAATGTAGCCCGAACGGCATCACTTTCCATTGGAACAATCCCTTGCCTGGCACCGTGAAGGCTGTGAACTTCCGGCTATCCTTTTCCAGTGGTATTTGCCAATACCCGTCCTTCAAATCCAAGCTACTGATGAACCGTGCTTCCCTCAGCTGATCTAAGATGTAGTCAATCCGCGGCATTGGGTATGCGTCCTTGATAGACTTTGCATTGATTTGTCGGAAGTCCACGCACAACCTCCACTGACCAGTTTTCTTTTTAACCATTACGATGGGGGAACTATAAGGGCTCTTTGATGCCATTTCCAGCAGCTTGTCTACCTTTTGGTTGACCTCCGCCTGCATCTTTGGGTTCTTAGGGTAGTATCGCTGCTTAACCGGTATCGCATCGCTCATTGTGATCGTATGCACCGCCACGTTCGATACCCCTTTCATCCTCTTGAATTCCTCCAATTCCTTGGCCAGAAATTCTTCGAATGGGCCTTCCTCTGCACTGTCGCGGCGCCTGCTTCCCGTGGGATACTCGGCTTCGGACTCCTCATCCGCCATTCCTTCTGGGGACTCCTCATTGGCCTCCACTACTGCCACCGACAGCCTTTCTTCCACCCGCCCTTTCCGTCGGCCTCTCGCAGGGATCACGACCCTGTGCCCCGCACAGGTCACCTCTGCTCCGACTGCGGCAATGAAGTCCCAGCCTAGTACCAGCGCATCGATGACTCCTGGCAGCACCAGAAGCGCCATTGAGACCACTTTGTCTCCGAACGCCAGTTCCACTTCGATTTTTGTTTCGATGGTGCGACGGCGTCCATCGGCCAACCGCACCTGCTTGTCGGTTTTCTCCTCGCGCCCCTCCCCTCGCAGCTGTTCCGCCAGCTCACAGCTGACAAAGCTGCTAGTGGCCCCTGTGTCGACCGTGGCCTTCCATTTCCTCCCTGCGATGTCCACCACGGCTGACAGCTGCACATCCTCCACGGTGAGTTCACCGATTAGGTTTCGGGGACTGCATTCTGCGACCCCGGCACGGCCCTCCTCGGCTTGGGTCGCGGGGCGTTTCCCGACTTTTTGCAGCACTGCCATGTCGTGACGCCGACCTTTCCACACCTCCAGCAGAATGTCAACGGGCGCCCTTGACATGCCTGTGACCAGTGCTCGTCACTTCCGCATCGTCGGCATGCTTGGGCGGGATTCTTAACGTATCCCCCCTCTATATTGGAATGCGTCTGGTCCTCCGCCACCGGTGCCTCCACTTTCGCTTTTGTTTGTCCCGCTACGGCGGCCGGCTCGTCCTTGCACCTCCGGCATATTTCAGTCACGGCCGACTTCGAGAAGGGATTTGCCGCTTTCGCTCTTCCCGCTGGACTCTCCTTCTGGAACTCT